ATCTAACGAGACTTCTGATTAATTTGACCTGATTCGTTTTATGTAAAGTCTTTAAGCAGTATCTATTGATCTTTAAAATATATAGTATAAATAAATAAAAAATGTTTCCTCATATTGGTGTCCTTAGAACCGAGTTTTATGTGGGGCCAGTCAGGTTGTCGGTAACCAACTTTTTTTCTGCAAATTAAACAAATATTGTTTAATTAAACATTTATTGCCTTACCGGGGGGAAAGAGATGATGATGAACATTATACYATTTTGATGACATATAATCCTACTCGATAATGTAAGTGAGGATGGTAACTCTTACATAGAGATAGAAATTTTATCTGCAGGGGCGCGTATCTGCAGGTACCAACCCTGACAACACGGGGTTTCCCACTTTGTCGGATAACAAGGCGAGGATGAAGATTTATTTTCATACCTGAAGCGAGGCCGGGGATGACCTTACCCGTCCCCTAATCTGACCCCGATTAAGTTTTTATTTTATTTTATTTAGTATATCATACTGTGTGTGTATAAATAAATACATATGTATAAATTCATTATTAAATGACATATATATTTGATTATTGGTACTGGTAATTAATGTAGTGACGATTTATTATAGTTTTATTTTTAAAATACATTGTTTTTACTAAAGGGTACCCAACGGATTCTCAAAACCCGCCGGAGATTCCTTCCCCTCAAACCCGTTAGGAATTTATCGGGGCGGGGTTGAGGACGGAAATACATTACCCGCTCAATATCCGTCCTGTTTTTATCTTTTATCTAATAAACGGTTACCCAATTTAGTTGGTAAAGGACCCAAATATTACATAAAATATTRTAAACTTTTAAACAAAACCATTCAATATTTTATAATTTTATAAATTAATAATATTAGAAAAACAAATAAAATTAGAAACAAAGAATAAAAAGGTTTCTATTTATTGCAATATTTTGAAATAAAAATAAATAAATTAATGAACAAGGGACAAGAATATGTCCCCCTCTTGGGAATAATATAAATACGACCGTGGCTTGTTRCAATTAATTAATTTAATTTGTTTTAAAATTGTTATTCTTTTGGACCATAATTTACAATTTCAGTTAAAATACGATTATACCACTTTTGCCCCCACTACCGACATTATTGTGTCCACCATCTTGCCRCCACCACTACCGCCATTGCCACAACCATCACCACTACAGTGCTATTGTCACTGCCACCAACATCGCCACCACTATTGCTGCTGCCGCCATCACCACCATCTCTGTCGTCATCACCAGTTGATATTAGTATTTGTTTCATTGTTATATAAGATTTGTAAATTAAGAAATAAAATATGAAAAATAACATGGGGGGGGGGGGTGTTTTAGCAACTCATCCTTGTTTTATTTACAATCACGAAGTTATATTTAACAAGMCAAACACAAAAATTCCAATTCTTTTCAATTTCTGTCAATCAAACATATGATCCAATCTGATTAAATTCCAATCCAGTCATAATTTAGTTGACAGACCCTAATTCTAACAAATTCTATTATACGAAACAAATGCCGTCTGATATTAAATTACAAATCATTTAAGCAATAAAACGATTATTATGTTCATATATATTTCATGAAATCATTTAAAAATGATTGTTTAATTGTAAAAAATAATTGCGAATAAGAAAAATGAATTATTATGGTTGGATTTTTTTTTTAGTATATAACATTATACTAGTTGTGTACCCGCGCAATACGGCGGGATCCATGAATTTTAACGATTTTGAAGTTCCACTGGTTTTATAAGATAAGATTTAACGATGATATAGGTTACACTTGGTCTTTACATATTAATACAATTTGAATAAATAAGAGTTATGGTTCCAATTACAGACTATCGATGAAAAAAATTGTATGACAGTTTAAAATCCAAGATATTTAAAATCCAACATATTTAGACGACTCCACAAATGTGTTTGATTTACACCAAGAACAAAGAACAAGTAAACTTGAGTTTTAAGATTAACACTCAAAACCAATAAAGAAAACTACAAATTTAACAGATGATAAGCCATGAAAAGACCAAAAAAGATGGGTTTTAGAATGAAATTTCAACTGCTTACCCTCTTTCTTGTCTATAAACTCAGATTAAGGTTGAATTAATATATGTATATATATATTTCAAAAAAACCCAATAACATATTGTACAGTGCAATTTGAACAGCCTAATCCCAAAATAATATATATATATATATATATATATATATATAAATAACTATAAAAGTATAAAATATAAATATTAAAAATATTTTTTTACAGTATATATAGTATATAATAATATAATTAAATCAAAAACTATTTAATATTTGACTCATTTTGAAGATATTAACGAGACGATTATAAATGTGTAACTTGTTAAAATAAAAATGTATTTTTTAAACATGTTTTAATTGATATACGATTATATATGTTGATTTGATAAAKATTTAAAATGAAACATTTAAAAGTAAAAGATGTAAAGTAAATTAATTAATTAATTATAGGAGTATAAAGTGTAAATTTAAAATTATAATTTTAAAAAAATCGGTTGTGAGAGGGTGAGTGTATGTGAGGGGGTGAGTGTATGTGAGGAGAGAAGATGATGAAAAAGTGAGGTAATGTAGTATAAAGGATATTTTGGTCATTTAATATTTAAAGACTTTAAGACTTTTGTTAAATTTACTTAATAAAATAATATAAATACGATAAATAAAACAAATAAATTCATATATTCTTTTCACTTTTGGTAAACTTTAAACCCTTGATCTCTTAAAGAGGTTAAAAGCTGACGCATCACTAAACCAAATGCCTTTAATTGGTTAGAAGAATTTTGTATAGCTTATATCTAAATTTTGAGGATAGAGTAGCATTACGACGACAAACACTTGCATCCTACTCCTTTTTTGACCATTTTTAGTGCCCCCCTTTTAGATTTTCCCTTTTTTAAAAGCTTTTTTTTTTTAATTATTGATTTCTATTTTATTTATATATTTTTTGGCTATATTATTAATGGTAACAATATTATTTAATTAAAAAAAATATAACAACTACATATTTTTAAAACTGTATGATTTTCACTATGCACATTTATTTATCATTACTAAAAGAGTACTCATATAATGCAGCGAAACACGTTTCGATTTTAATGTTTTTTTATATCAATTGATGTTATAGTACAATTTTAAGTGGTTTTGACAAAACAATAATGTTTTTATTTTTGAATAAAATATAAATATGAAGATATATAATAAAAAAATAAAAATATATATTGATATTAATATCAAACTAATTATTTAAAATTCGTTTTCTTTTTTGTATTTCTTTACTTCATTTTTTATAATTTTGGTTTAATAAATGATTTTTTATAAAGATAATAATCAAGTATTTTATTATAACTCAAAAATTATCTTAATTATTTTTTAGATTTTTATATTTAAATGAGATGTTTATCATCTATTTGATTATGTTTATCTGTAGTTAGTTACACGAATTCAAACATGATGCTTTAATAAGTTGTACTTACGCATAATTTACTTGAAATCGTGAATTTTAAGTAATATGTATCAATGAACAGTACTTCATGCATAAAAAATAGTTTTAAGAGTTTTTGTCAAATATTTTATAATATAACTAGAAGGGTACCCGCGCAATGCAGTAATATATATCTCGATTTTAATATTTCGTTTTATTCCATCTCTGTAGGTGTTATAACACGGTTTTTATGTGGTTTTGAAAAAAGATAATGTTTTTATTTTTGAATAAAATATAATTTTGAAGATATAATAAAATTTTGAAAATACATACATTAATATTAGTATCAAATTAACTATTTAAAAGTTCTGGTTTTTTGTTTAATTTTCTTTAATACAATTTATTTACTATAATTTAATTTAGATTTAATAACAAAATAATTTATTTTTGATTTAATAATATAATTTCTAATAATGATAATGATTAAGTATCTTGTTAGAACTCAATGATTATCTTAATCATATTTTAGATTTTTTATAAATAAAATGTTTATCTTGTACTTGACTATATTATTTGCAGTTAGTTACACGAATTCAAATATAAAAGCTTTAATAAGTTGTACTTACACATAATTTATTTATAATATTGAATTTTAAGTAATATGCATGAATAAACAATATTTCATGTATAAAAAAAATGGTTTTTAAGAGTTTTTATCAAATACTTTATAATACAATATTAGATAATAATAAAGATAAATGAAGAAGATAATCATTAAAATAAATTCGATAATTGCGATAGCGATGATCTAAACCACCCCTCAATCTTCTCGACTTTGGTGCCATAATTTGTGAGATTTTCAAATCTCTTTCAAAATTCAAATAAAAATCAATATATCTTCCTTAACTAATTAACATCCCTAATTCTTGGAATTTGTCAAATTTCGCCCTTATACTTATTCTTTTGTTTAAATCCAACCCCTTAGATATTTTAATTAATATTTAGGGAGAGATTTTTTTAGCTAACTGTCGGTTTTTGGTCCAGTTTATCCCATCAATTAATTCCTTGAACGACCATGAATGATTTGGAACCATCACATGTGAATATCTATGGTCATAAGGGCATTGCCAACACCTTGATTCAAACACGGGAAATATGAGATTTTCACTATATTCCTCCACGGCTTAACCAGTACGTAACAACCCAAGTGGTCAGAATGAGATTAATTGATGCATGTATAAATTGAGATGGACAATAGAAAATCATTAAAATATTTTTAATTATAATTCGTCAAATCAAAGTAATCATTTTAATAATAAACAATAAAATAAATTCCTGATGAATTAAAAATGTAAATAAAGAAATAGTTGAGGGACTAAACTTGTACATTCTTCAAATCAAATATGGGCCAATTTCTATTGGGTCGGTATTTTGGCCCAAACAGATCCCCTATTAAGCAACGCTTTAATTGCCATTAGAACCTGTAATTTTTCTTCGATTTTGTGAATTCTGATTCTCGATCTTCCAGTTTTTCGAATCCAATCGTTTCAATGGAGAAGGAATCGAAGGCTAAGGAACTCAATGCTGCTACTGAAACGGTATATTTTGATTTATAGTTTATGTTTTCTTCGATTTTCAACTGTTCACGTGTTCTTCGTTGTTATGATTTTAAATTTTCATGATTGAACATTGGGAAGATTTTCTGAAGACTTTAGGAACCTTGTTTGAGGATATTAAACGTTTTCCTCGATTGAAGATTGATTTTTCATCGAGCAGATGAGTGTTTTTGGGAATTTGTTTCGTTAGGGTTTTTTCAGGAACCGTGAAGAGTTTTTTCCCGCCAAAGCTGTTATACATATACATATATGATGTACGTGTATATATGTATGTATATGATGGTTTTAGGGATTAGTTTAGCTGGGGTTTGTTACCACTAACTACTAAGCTACATTATACTCGTTAACATTTATCAGCAATTTTAACACATAGTTCGATTCGCCCGAATTTTATAATACATATAGTTCAATTAGCTCCTGTACTTACCATACAAATAATACTCAATGATTATATTAGAAAACAATCAAAATATTTATAGATGATTAACATGATTTGTTAATTACGATTGAGATATATATGGAAGATGATAGGGTTCATTCTTATGATCTTGACTTTAAATTAGTAAACAAAATGTGATCAAATGTTTATTAAATTAGATGGACTGCTAAGTTTGGTTTGTATAATTTGTAAAAATTACATGGTTTGTGTTTTAAAATTCCTCTCTCTCTCTCTCTATATATATATATATAAAGAAACAGGTGATCTTCATATAATAAACTTTCATAACGAAATACTATGAAGGTACAAAACTTATTTGAATCTTCACAGTGTGAAACAATCCGAAGGCTAGTTTTGACCTTCACATTGTTTTGTTATGAAAGTTCATTGTGTGTTTGTGCGTTCACATTTGGTCTTGTGGGTCTGTTGAAAAAAGATGGTCTCAGGAGAACCAAACCATATATATATATATATATATATATATATATGAGTTTTAGGAATTAGTTTTGCTAGATTTAGGGGCCGTTTTACCATATGTTTACCCAGGTAAGCACTTACAAAGTCATATTATCTTATCGGATGAATATGACAAAAATCAAAGAATCTTAAGCGAAGGTAAGAACGGAGAGTCTTACCCGGTAAGTGAAAACGATGACTCTTACAATGATTAGTGCTTACCGGGTAAATTGTTGCATATGATGTCGTTTTAGTGGACTAAAAATCTTACTTGGTAAGTAAGTCGTAGTGTTGAATTTTATTGATAAGTGTTTACCAGGTAAGTGTTTGCATAAACAACCCCTTGTACTTGTTATCCTTTATTAGCAATTTGAAAGTATATAGTTCGATTCATTTGAATTTGTTGGATTAACGATGTAAAATCTCTTTTTTCTCTGTTTTCAAACTGCTGTTGATGCTCTTAAAGCATTAATATAGATCATTGATCACATTATTTATATGTGGGGATTGCTAATATGTTATTTTCTCTTGGTTTTTCTTGATCGCTACCGATAATTCTTAACGCCTAATGTTCTGGTGTCTCTAAATAAATAGGAGGGAGCTCAGGGGAACGGTTCATGTGAGGACAACCCGGATAGCCTCACTTACAAGAGTTTATACCTCGACTCTCAAAACAAGGTTAATATCTGCCTCTTAATCACAATCTTTAGCTTTTGTTATAACTGTGGATCCCATGCATGAGACCCACAGTTGAGATACCGAATAACTGTTAAAAACTCATGGAAATAGTTGGTTTACTCTTTAGAGTAAATGTCAGGCTTACGCATATCCCATCTCTAAGGTTATACCGAGTTAGTTTGGATTGAAGTAACTGCTAAAAACTTGTTTCTATTACTTTCAGATTGAAGCTCTAACTTCCGAAAACCGTGAGCTTGCACTAAGGTTGGAAATCGTTCGAGGGAAACTTGCGGCGGTATGTATAGTCACACTTTTATCTCTTTGTGGTTTGTTGAAAATTGCTATTTTTGTTTATTTAGTTTTGAAACATCGGTTTTCGTCCCTGTTCATTGCTTTTTTCTGTTCGTGTGGCATACAATTTATTGCTTTTTTGGTTTACAACTTATTGCTAGTTTCGTCCTTGCTGTCTACAACGTATTGTTGTTTTCGTCCCTCTTACTTAATTGTAATAGTTGCCTTGGGGATGAAAAGGACGATGAACTACAAACGACAAGGACGAAAACCGTAGTTTCAAAAGAATCTTGAGGGACTAAAACCATAGTCTTTTTTTGTGTTTTGTCACAGCTTAGGTATGTTTTAGTATTGTTTTTTGTGTTTCATACACCCAATATGATGTGTTCATCTTCGGTCTCGTTTCTAAGTTTTCCATGTTTTCGTTGTGGTTATAGTACGAGAAGATCAACAGATCCCTAGGCATTATGAACCCGAGAATGGAAAAAGCTGTGGAAGCTTTCACGTGTTATTTTCTAGGCGGTGATGGGAGTGATGCCGGTAGCAGTGCTCGTAGCGGTGCTGGTTTGGAAAACCAAATTTTAAAACTTATGTCACGTAAATAGAAATAGAATAGAATCAACTATTTATTTGGATAATTTCTGAAATTGTTTTTTTAAGTAAAATTGGTTTTTTTAATATAATTTATTTGGGTACGTTATGAAAATTTTATTGTTTATAAATTACCATCACCTAATATTAGAAGGATACTCGTATAATGTAGCGAGATACATCGAAATAATATTTCGTTTTATTTTTTGTCTCTATCGATATAACACGGTTTTATGTGGTTTTAAGAAAGTGATAATGTTTATATTTATAAAAATTTGAAAAAAAATATCTCGATATTAGTATCAAATTATCTATTTAAAATTTTTCGTTTTTTAATTTATTTCAAAAAATTTATTATAATTTAATTTAGGTTTAATAACGAAATAATTTATTTTTAGTTTAATAATATAATTTTTATAGGAATAATATTTAAGTATTTTGTTATAAATGTAATTCAATGATTATTCTAATTATATTTTACATTTTTTATATTTAAAATGAGATGTTTATTCTGTAGTTGATTATATTTATCTACAGTTAGTTACATGAATTCAAACATTAAGCTTTAATAAGTTGTAATTATGTATAATTTACTTGTAACCTCGAATTTTAAGTAATATGCATCAATAAACAGTACTTCATGCTTAAAAAATGATTTGCAATTTGTTGTTATTTGTTTAAAAATTGTGATCATGCTTGTCACATTTGTTTAAAAATTGTGATCATGGTGTCTATGATTTGCAATTCGTTGTTATTTGTTTAAGTAGAAGGGATCAAAAGAGTAAAGAATCATAAACCACATGAACTAAAACAATAGTAAATTATAAATCATAAGAATAAAAATCATAATTTTTAAACAAAAAATAAAGCGGATTTAATATGAAAAGAGGAGAGGAGAGGGGAGGGGAGGGGAGGGGGGCCAGCTAGAGCTACTCTTGTATAGGTTTTTTTTAAACTATTCTAACATTAACTATATTATTAAAATATTCAATATATTTATTGAAATATTATTTTATTTCTTTTAAATATTTATTATAAATATTTTTTATTGGTGAAAAGTATTAAAATAATAATATATATTTTTAGTGATTTTTTTTAAAATTTAGAGTGATTTCTTTAAATTTAGAGATCTTTATAATTTTATTCATTTTTTCTCTATTTTATGATACAAGATAGCATAACTGTTGGATCAAAAAATTCTCAATTTTTTTTTCTTTCTATTTAGTATAGTCATTGAAGATGTTTTATTACATGCTAGAAGGGTACTCGTACAATGTTTAGTTTTTGTTATTTGTCTTCATGATATAATACGATTTTATGTGGTTTTGATAAAGAGGTAATGTTTTTATTTTTGAATGAAATATAAATTTGAAGATTTTCTATATTTAAAATGGATGTTTACTCTATATTTGATTATATTTATCTACAATTAGTTATACGAATKTAATAAAGAATCTTTAATAAGTTGTGCTTACGTAAAATTACTTGTAATCTTGAATTTTAAGTAATATGTATCAATAAACAATACTTCATGCATAAAAATGAGTTTTAAGAGTTTTTGTCAAACTAGAAGGATACTCGAGCAATGTAACATGATACATCTCGATTTTAATGTTTCGTTTTATTTTGTCCTCTGTCGATGTTATAACACAGTTTTATGTGGTTTTGAAAAAAAACGATTGTGTTTTTTTTTTTTGAATAAGATATAAATTTGAAGATATTAAAAAAAAAAATTAAAAATATATCGATATTAATATCAAATTAACTATTTAAAAGTTCTTGTTTTGTTGTGTAATTTATTTAATTCAACTTTTTCTAGGTTTAATAACTAAGTAATTTTTTTGATATAATAATATTTTTTTTATAAAGGTAATAATTAAGTATTCTGTTACAACACAATGTTTATCCTAATTATATTTTAGATTTTTTATATTTAAAATGAAATGTTTATCCATTGTTTGATTATGTTTATCTGCAGTTAGTTATACGAATTCAAGTATGAAGCTTTAATAAGCTATACTTATGCATTATTTACTTGTAATCTTGAATTTTAAGTAATATACATTAATAAATAGTACTTTGTATATAAAAAATAATTTTTAATTTTTTATATCAAATGCTCTATAATATAATATAGATGCTTTATAGTATAGAATACTATAGATATTTATGGATATAGATATTTGGGCCAATTTCTACGGGCCCGATATCTCAAGCCCAAATAAAAAACCCAATTAAAATTACGCAGCGATCTGAATTTATCAGCGATCATCAATTTTGTGAACTCTGATTTTTGATCTTCCAGTTTGAAGAATCCGATCGTTTCTCAATGGGGAAGAAACCTAGAACTATGAAACTCAATGCTGCTACTGATACGGTACATTTTGGCTTATTGATTATGTTTTCTTCGATTTTCAACTCTTCATTTCGTCTTCGTTGTTTATGATTTGAAGTATCCATGATCGAGCATTGTAAATATGTTTCTGAAGATTTTAGGAACCTCATTTGAAAAAACTACACTTTTTCCACGATTGGAGATTGATTTTGACCACACAGATGAGTGTTTTTAGGAGTTAGTTTCGCTAGGGTTTTTCAGGAAGCGTAATGATCTGTTTCCCTCCAAATTAGCTGTTACACACACATATTGATATATAAATGTATGTATGTATATGATTGTTGTAGGAACTAGCTTTGCTAGCTTTGCTAAAACGTTTTCATTTTGCGCATTGTTCCATATGAATTTAGTAAAAGAAAAAAGTAGAATGAGATGGAATTGTTGAGAAATAGTCATCAGCTTCATACCTTCATATGAATTTAGAGGTTGGAATATGGATCCCGCTGACGGACTGAATCAGACCGGTTAACGCGTATATGTTGGCCAGTTCAATGACCGGACCGAAAATTTTACGACTGGTCTGTAGCTAGGTGAAGTCCCGAGGAAAATTAAACAATGATTGTTGTGTTGATAGTATTTAGGGAAATTGAAGGAAATAAGTCATTTTCCAAATTCATCTTTAAACCATTTTTACCGGAGATTTTCAAAATATCACTACCTTCACAAGTGGCACCTCCGTGATTTGCGAATGAGCAAAAAGAAAAAAAAATCACTTTTCACCCATGTCCACAAGTGGCATCTCTGCAAGTGGGTGAAAATTGAAAAAAATTCACTTTTCACACAGGTATGCAAGTGGCACCTCTACTAGTGGATGAAAAGTGAATGTTTTTTTAGGTCTTCTAGCTCCTCCGCGAGTCACGGAGGTGCCACTTGCGGAGGGAGTGATATTTTTGAAAAATCCCAAAAGAATCGTTCAAGGAATGAATTTGATTCCTAAAAATGGCTATTTCTATTAATTTCCTTGATATATATTGTTTTTGAGCAAAAGGTTGATTACCGGCATCCTGGTCGGCCTTACAAAGAACCCGCCTCCTAGGAACCACATGTTGAATTGGCATTTAAGAGTTGACTCAACGGACAAGGCTAGTGGAGGGGTTCAGTCCCACCTCCACCAGGTCTCACACTTGTTGTGTATTTGAGCAAAGTCGTTCCGCTCTCTGCAAATTGAACTCCAAGCCTGGGACCGACATTTATTGTTTTAAATATCGAATAATTACACAATTTTAAAATATAAGACACAATTATACAAAAAAGTTGAAAAAAGGATTCTTTTTTGTAAGCTCCCGAGGAGGACAAAGGTTCGAATATCACCGAAGCTGATAAGCGTGCTATTATTTGCTTATATAAGTATTAATGTATTATATACTTTTAAAAAAGTTATTTACAGTAATGCTATATATATCGAATGGACTTTGCTAATTGTTTGATTATTATGTCGTGCTAGGCTAAGAATCCCTATCAGACACCAGAGACTCCGATCAACAATTTTTTCCATCGCGAGGCGGAACCTGTTGTATCGGTGAAACCATCAAAAAACAAAAGCATGTGCGTTAGGCGTTCTGGTCGGCTCCAAAGTGTAATCAAGCCTGTTCAGAATCAAGAGATTGAAGAAATAGATCTTGTGGAAAGTGAAAGGGAAGACGGAGAACCTCAATTCGAAGAAAACGTTGAACATTCGTTACTCGAGCTAGGTAATGATGACTCGCGTAACAGGCCCACAACAAATCAAAAGTCTCTAAATGAAAAGGCTGAAGATGTTATAAAAGCAGTTGAAGTACTAAAATCCAAGGCAAGCTTTCTCCCTATTAAGACATTTTAGTGTATGAGTTTGTAAATTATTCGATGAAGTCAGGGGCGGACCCACTTAAGAGCATGCGGTGACACCGTTCCCGAAGACACAAATTTCTCTTGGTAGAATTAGTTTATGGCTTTTTCTTTCTTCCAAGCACGATTTTGAATCCCATATTTACCAATTTTTTTGAGTTTTTAGCTTTTAATTTCGGGTGTATCATCTTTTTTAAACAATTTGGAATGAAAACCTATAAAAAGACTCGAACTCAGAACCTTGCATACCCTAGGCAAGTAAGCAACCAACGCACCTATAATGATTTTATAAAAATTATTTGTAGCTGTATTTTTTTATAGTTAAATGGTGCTTAGGGTCCGCCTCTGCTTATTATTGCATTCTGCATTTTCTTTTAAGTGTACCCGATGCTTCTTTCCACACACCCTCACTTGTAATCCAAGGGTCTTCTCATAAATAGTTTCTCTACCCATTAGAGGCAAGGTCTGTATATATTCAGGATACCCCATTAGACCCTACATTTAGTGTGGGATTTACTGTGTTAGTTTGATTCTGTTTTTTTGTCAACTATTACCGGTCCCAGCATAGGATTTTTACTAAATTATGCTTTAAAATATGCACTTTTGGCTGTGAGTTCTTAAATCCAATTATCATGTCTTAAAGCATGAATTTAGATGATTGCCAACAACTTTTTGTGCGGGAACTGTTGATATGTTATTTCTTTCACTTAGTTTATTGTTGATCGTTGTCGATTTTTCTTTCCACGGCCTAATGTTTTAGTGTTGTTAAATAAATAGGTGGGAGCACAAGGGAACGGTTCATGTGAGGGCCCCTCGGTTAGCCTCATTTACAAGAGTTTATACCTCGACTCGCAAAAGAAGGTTAGCCCTTGTCGCTTAAATACAATCTTTAGCTTTTGTCGTAATCACTATTCTAAGAGGTTCGTCGGAACAGCTGCCATGGCATGCCATGGCTCAAGGCTTGTGTCTTGCACCACGTTAAACCTGTCGTGCGCCATGGTGTAATGCGTGGTTTTTGTATCACGATATTTGATTTTACGTACTCTTTAAAGTCTTATTTGTTAGTTTTTACTATATAACTTAATTTAAATTATTTATTATCATTGATTCATTGAGTAATAATAGAAAACATATGATTTCATATATATATATATATATATGTATATATATATGTATGTATATAGTATTGTGTATGATACATAGATTTGCGGCCATAGTCATGCTTTAAAAAACGTTGTGACCTCGTAAATTGTAATGGCTTCTCAGGCTTGAGGTTTGGCTTCGTCGTCAGGCCACATCTCAATTTTGAGCCTTGGTCGTAATTTTGGGTGCATGCATGAGACCTCGCAATTGATGTAAATGAGAGTATATCCAACAATTTATTCAAAACGAAGAAAATCAAGATTTTGGTGTTTTTAAGTTATGCTTATCCTCAAATGGATCTTTCATAACTTTTTGAAATGAAGAAAGTAGGAGAGAGAATAAAAGTTTTCAAATATGAAAAACTCTCCAAAATTAAATGTTGAAGAGAGAGAAATTGTTTTTTGTTGTTTCATTTCATATAAACTTTATTTGGAAACTTGTTTGGAAAATAACAGAAACAACTTGTCTATTCTTTGGAGTAAACGTGAGGTCTGCCTACATCCTACTTCTAGACCCCTATATATATATACATATATATATATACATATATATACATACATATATATACATATATATATATACATATATATACATATATATATATATATACATATATATATATATATATTGTGCTCCTTTCGCCCCCAATATAATTGTCTATCCTATTAATGGTACATAACTTTAGACGTTATTAATTACTACATTTTTTAGTTAACCAAATGACAGTTTTACCATTAATTAATTTATCTCTCTTCAAAGCTCTTAAATATATGTGCATTGATTAAGGGGCTGTTTGTTTACCTCTTAATAGATTTCATTAGGAGGAAACCTTTGAATCGTTAAGAGGTGAATTTTGGCAAAAAAAAGTTTGTCCCTTAATGATTATAGAACTCTTTGGATGATTTTGTATCTCAGGCCTCCCTCAATCATTCAACATCCTAATTTCATTATGGACAGTTACCAACAACCATATTTCATTTTGCACTACTCTTTCATTCTGACCACTTAATCATCATGCACCAAACCATTCAACAAYTGCAAACAGCCCGTAAGAGTAACTTTGATTTTAGTATGATCCATAAAATGTTTCTATGTGACTTTTAGATTGAAGCTCTAACTTCTGAAAATCATGAGCTTGCACGAAAGCTGGAGATCGTTCTTGGGAAACTTGAAGTGGTATGTATACTTACACTTTTTGTGTTCTGTATCTTATATATACTTCTTCTATCTTAAAATAAATGTCGGAAGTTTGTCTAAGGAGATGTAATTAAAAGTCTGTAAAGTCGTCCGATGTGTTTTTAGATGAATTCAACAGTTTCGAACGCTTTTTAAAGTTTTTTGGTTGCTTTTGAGTGACTTTTTCCGTTTTTTAGTGGATCCCTCTTATATTTTCTAATATCCTTGAGCGCCTCTCAAATTTTAGCATGTGCATTTTTCATACCTAAAAGAAATTATACTTGCGAAAATCGGTTAAGTGGGTGCAGTTGCGGGCCTAGGACTTTTGCTGAGTGGGTGCACCTGTAAGGTAGATTAAGCCTAGCAAAGTCGTCCGATGTGTGTTTTAGTGGAATTCCACTGCTTTGAGGGATGTTTTTAGTTTTTTGATTGATTTGGAAGGACTTTTTTGGTTGATTATGGGTAAATTTTTTCGGTTTTTTGGTTGTCTTTGGGCTACTTTTTCGGTTTTTTGGTTAATTTGGGGTAAATTTTTTCAGTTTTTTGGTTGTCTTTGAGATACTTTTTCGGTTTTTTGGTTGATGTTTCTCGTATTTCGGAACACCTCTCAAAATCTAACAAGTGCATCGTTCATATCTTACAAAAAATATTACTTAAAAAAACTAACAAGTGCATCGTTCATATCTTACAAAAAATATTACTTAAAAAAATAAGATGAGTGAATGCACGAGATCTGCCTCTAAGTGGTTGGAGGGCAGCCTTCATATGTTTGCCTCTTTTTATTGTGAAGCAAAACACATTTTTTCAAAGTATGTAATTTTTTACACTTCAGATCAACTAAATGGCAGTTTTTCTATACGACTAAATTAAGTTATTTGTTCCTGTGGTTTGTTAAAAGTTGTTATTTTCATCGTGATTATTATTTTTATGGTTTGTAATTCATTGTTTTTTGGTCCTTATAATTTACAATTTGTTGTTGTTTTGATCTCTGTGGTTTGCAATACTTTACTACTGTTTTTGTACCTTATACTTAAAGGTAAGAATTAGTGTATAGGCATTAAAGTAGCAGTAAATTACAAATCATAGAGAAAAAATTTACAATTTTTTAAACCATGAGGACAAAAATTCAAATTATTAACAAAAATCGTGATTTACTCTAATAGAGAGTAATGAAGCTATGTATATGTTGATTAATGATAGAATTAGAAAGTAGACTCTTATTTTGGGACAAATTAAAATAAAAAACACGGACACTTATTTTGAGACGGAAGTATGATGTGTTCATCTTCGATTATGTTTCTAAGGTTTCTGTGTTTTTATTGTGTTTACAGTACGAGGACATCAACAAATCCCAAACGATTATCAGTTCTAATCTGGAAAAAGCCATTGAAGCGTTGGTTAAACCTACATTGCTTGTTGGTCGGTTTTCTTCTCCAGGTGGTGGTGTTGCTACCAGTGGTGGTGGGGTGTTGCCAAAAGAGTCATCAACAAAGAAACGTAAACAGGATCAAAAGAGTAAATGAATCGTTTATTCTTATCTACTATTAGAATCGTTGACTTGACTTAGATTGGTTCTTTTTATCTTTTGAGTTTTGTGCATATAATGCAATGCAACTAAAGTTGATTTAAGGGGTTAGTATGTTTTTGGCTTAATTATTAAGCAATGATGGAAAATTACTGAATTAGATTAAACTTTATGTACATGTTCTTGTTCAGCCAAATTATATGTTATTAGCATTTGAAAACTACATTTTATGTTTTTGGTTAAAATTTGTAATGAGATTTTTACATAACTTTCTATTACCGTTGCTGCAAACTGTATAATGATTGTTGATTTCTTATATGACGAACAAATTGCTCCCTGTGGTTTGTTTGGAATCTAGATAGGTTAACTGAAATGTCCTTAAAATTAACTGATTGAATTTTAACTCCATAGGGATCAAGGAAATGCGAATCACAAACTCTGAAGATCTACGGTGTAATTTACCCATGAAAATTAAACAAATAAAAGAGAAAATGTTAACCCTTTGGGGTTGTTTGACAGTTGTCAGAATGATTAAGAGACTCTTAAAATATAAGATCCAAGATACAAAATCATTCAGATGATTTCAGAACCATTAAAAGACTGACTTTTTTTGCCTAACAAAATTCATCTCTTAATAATTTGAAGGTCGTCTCTTAATAAAATTATTAAAAGGTAAACAAACAACCTCTTAGTTTTGATTCGAGTTGACATAGCTTAAAATTAAATCCCATTTTGATTAGTTAGAGGATTTTCAACTGTTTCTTCATTATTTCTTTGGAATAAAAAAGAAAAAAATCAAAACTTTCAGAAAAAAAAAATTACATTTAATTCTAATAGTTTGCCTTAATTTCTTCAAAATAAAAAAAAGAAAAATCTTAAATAAATAAAAAACTTTAATGATTCTCTACTTCAAAAATTGTAGCAGTTCTATTTATATTATTAAAACATCCAATAAATTTAATATTTTTAGCATATTCTCAAACAAACTTTTAAACAATATTTTCTTCAAAATAAATAAAAACAATGATAATTAATACATTTTCTCTTATCCAAAATTTAATTTTAAAGATTTTTCTATCTTTTTCCCAGTATATAAAAAATATATTTTGAAATTTGTGTTGAAAATAAAAGAGCTCTAAAATCTTTTTTTTTTTTTAAATTCGAAACACGAACCTATTCTTTGTGGTTGATTTGGAGATGGTTTTCAATTGTTATCATCAATCATCATCTTCCCCATCAGGGTTATTGGCATCCAGAGGTCCAAGCATTCGAGGTGAATTCTGGAAGATCTCACGGACGTCCTCAATCCCTTTATTCGATATAAAATTACCATTAATATTCAGCAGCCTAAACACAGGTTTACCCGCAACCGCCTTAGCCAGTATCCTTGCGCCACCACTTCCAATCCCGTTACTGCTCAAATCCACCATCATCAACCGCCCAAACTCCTCCTCCACCGCCACCGCCCTCCCGATCGCAACCGCACCGGCATCCTTCAGTTCGTTTTCCGATAAGTTTAATTTGGTTAAAGAATCTTTCTTTGAAGTTATACAGGCAGCAATCGCCGGAGCTGCTTCAGAAGTAATGGCGTTTCCGGCCATCTCTAGAGCTTCAATGGAAGAAGGACAAGTTTCTAGAGCGTTTAAAATGGCGATGGCGGCTTCGTCCTCGAGGTTCAGGTGACCGAGGTGGATTTCGATGAGATTGGCGTGCCCGGATAGACCCCGACTTAGAGCGATCCCGGCTTCAGTTCCGAATACGTTGTCGCGTAAATCGAGCTTTTTCAAAAGGGTGCAAGTAGCAAGTGCTTCGGCAAGAGCGACGCCGCCTACAGAGCCGATCCGTGCCAAAGAACACCTGAAAAAATAGGAATCCGATTAGAATCGACTTGGGGTTTGTTTTGGTTGATTTTCTATATAAGCATTGGATAAAGATATATGTATGGGTTAATACAGTCTATATAGATTGCGGAGGTTTTTGTTTGATCGGATTTTTTTCATAGATGAAAGAAGCGTTTTTTTTTTAATTGTGGAGAACACAGGTTTGAAGTTTTTTTGACTTTCTACATAAAACTTTCTTTAGAAGCTTACTGAATAAGCTACTTTCTATATCTTTAAGCCACTATCAATTTATGTATAGCTGATCGAATAAGATAAATCTCATTAAGCTCATTAAGTTACTAATGAACAGGCCCTTGGCTTATCGAAATTGGATATCCAAATATGATTAGATCGGCCCAGATCTAAATTTTAATATTCAAATTGGACCGGTAGGTTGTTGGATGAGAGTTTAAAATATGATCCAATTGCTATCCAAGTATCACAGATATTGAATTAATTTATATGATATTTAAATTTCGTATACGAGTCTTATTGTTTTCTTATGATTTATGTCTGTAAATTATGGTGGTTGTTCAATTTATATAGATATTTATATATAAGTAGTGTTTTAAGTGAAATACATGAATAATTGGTTCAAAACGTTAGATTTATTGAAGCACTCGAGAATGTTCAAAACATTAGATGAATTGAATTACCGAGGAATGTTCAAATAAGAACCATAAGAATTTTGAGAACCCGAGAAGCCATATACATATACATTGATGAATATACTAATCTACAAACACATATTTTGATAGTATATATATATATATATATATATATATATATATATATATATGGGCAAAATGCACAAAATAACAATATACTTTCATAAATTTTTTTATTATAGCATTGTACTTTCAGTTTTTCTTATTACAGCAATGTACTTTCAAACTATTTTTTATTAAGACATTGTACTTTGAAAATTTTTCCCATTATAGCATTGGGTAACCTTTTGATTTAAATTTACCCATTATACTAGGTTTCCATGCCACCTCATTGTCCACRTAGGMTGTYCACATGTACTATAGTGATATGACTTTCTTACTACATCATTGTACTTTCAAAATTATTTTATTATAACATCTACTAGTTCTTATTAAACATTGTATTTTTTATTTTAATATTTAGATATTTTACATGTTATTCAATAAATGGATTAAATGAATTAAAAAGATTATAAATTATTCATTAATATATCAATAAAACTAGTATAAAACAACTTATCTCGCTAATATTTTTTTTAAAAATATGTGTTTCAAAAAAAAGGAAAATAAGAATTGTTTTTTTTTTACGAAAAACTATTATCTTTTAAAAAATACATTATGTTTGTTCAAAAACTTTTTACTTGACTTATAAATATGTTAACTTAATTAGATTTTTTTGAATTATTTATTAATATAACAATATTAAAAAATTGTAGATAACAATTTATTTCGTTAATATTTTAAAGAGAACTTGAAAAGATATATATTTATTTGAACAACATAAAATAGGAAAAATTGTCTTTTTTACAAAAAAATATATCTCGAAAATAATGTTTCATATCTATTTAATAAATATTTTACTCTAATAATATTTAATTTGAATGCAACTTAATAAGAAAAAAATAAAAAAAATTAAATGTTTTTTAAATAATAGCAATGAAAAATGAAAATCACTAATAATAATTTGAAATAGGTTTTTATTTTAATTTTAGTTAAGTCATCCAAATGATGTGTCATCCACATCACCTCATTAAAGTCACACAAGCAAAAAAGTCAAAGGGTTAACCGGTTTAAAAGGTAACAGGTTACTCATTGCTATTATGGGTAGATTTTTTAAAGTACAATKCCTTAATAAAAAATAATTTGAAAGTGCATTGCTGTAATAAAGAAAAACAAAAGTATAATGTTATAATAAGAAATTTTATGAAAGTAGGTTGCTATTTCATGCATTTAACCCTATATATAAATATATATATATATATATATTTATATATAGGGATGTTATTCTACACTCTTTGCCATTCCTACACCCTATACAACCCTCATCTCAACCATTCAATTTTTAATCAATTAATTGTTTCCTAATATAAAGTATTAATCATAATTAATAAACTCTATTCATATTCCATAAATATTCAAATCATAATAAATGAACTCCAATCATTTCTATAAATATCTCAATTAATTGGATTGTAAAGGTTGTACAAATACACAAGGTTGTAAAAGAAATATACCCTATATATATATATATATATATATATATATATGTATCAAAGGGTTTAATCATTTGAAAACTCCAAAATTTGTGAGATCCGTGAAAACTTCTACCTTAAAGGTTTTGTTTCACATGATTTTTTCCATCTAAGCATAACGCTTGATGTATTGATCAACATATATTTGTTTCATATTGTGTTTGTTTCACATGAACCCAGTTCACAATGAGAAACTTTTTTACGTGTACTTTTTATTTCAGAAACACGCCAAAAAGGCTCACATTATGAACCGAGTATATTGTGAATCAAATATATGTTAATCGCTACATTAAATTCTAGCCACAGGTGAAAAGTGTCATACAAAATAACATATTATACACCGGTTGTCAAAGATCTCACGATTTAGAGAATTTTCAAAAGAAGGTCCTCTATACCCCCCCCCCCAAAACACACACATAATATATATACATTGATTCTTACGGTTCTCAAAAATATTTATGGTTCTCATTTGAACTTTTTAATTCAATCAGATATAATAAATAAACAATGGTAATATCCAATTGATAAAACCGATCCGATCCGAAGTTAATTAGATTAACAAAATTCAACATCCAATGGTTGATTTGATCGTATCAGTTCTACCAAATCCATTCGATGTCAACCGATAAACACCACTAACCTGAAATCCTCTAGCATCGGAGATTCTTTAACGAGTTGAGAAATGGCAATCGCTCCTCCATCTCTAATCATGTTATTATGAAAATGAAGAATCTTGAGTTTCTTCGATGAAGGGATTAACTCGCGCAATGCCTTTGCAGCTTCCTCCGATATACCGGCATTCATCAGATACAATTCAACAAGATTTTCTTGAGACCTTAAAAGATCACCGAATGCCCGAATCCCCCTTTCACCCAAAGTATTATTCGAAAGATTCAAATAACTGAGGTCACAACCCTCGAGAGCCGATGAAAACATCCTCATAACTTCAATAGCTTCTGGTTCTGGCCTTCTAGAAACAAAATCTGAAAGATCAACTTCTGTCAATTGGTTCTTTAGATTCGACAGAATGGAGGCAGCGACATGGGCAGCTGGTAGACCGAAACTTCTATTACTAAAACAAATCTTTGTGTATTTGTTTTCGGGTTCTTTTAGTGGTTTCAGAAGTTCTTTAGCTTCTTCCGCGTCAATAAAAGCTCGGCGCCCTCCAGAAATGTCGAAAACAGATTCATGGTCAGATAACAAATCTGGTATAATATCTCTATCCTCTTTTGGTCGAGGTCCTCTTTTGACGACTTCCACCATAAGTTTACTGGATTCTCTAGCGTAAACTTGCACAGTTGATGCCCCATCGCTATCTGGTTCTTTTTCAAAGTGTTGGTTTGCAGCAGAAAAGGCTGCAGACTCGATTTGTTTAGCATCTTCTTCGGCTTCTTCTTTGCTTAGAAGACCATATTTTCGCGATAAAATGGAGGGAGTTGTGAGGTTTTTTACTATACGATCCACAAGCACTTGCCTGGTGGTTTGGCTAGGAGGCCACAACTTAATTGAACGCAAGTGACCATAAGTCGACTGACCATGAGTAGAATCCATATCAAATTGTCCTGTAAATATGTTGATTTCAGGGTCGTTTCAATCTTTTTGTAGGTCCTGCTACATCTGTTTCAAAATTATAGAGTGACGATAGATCGACTAGTGGAGTAATATATAAAACAAAATAAAAGTTACAATAATTGATAGAATCATAGAATTTACAAATTAGAGAGCAGCGAGCAAGGGAGAAGGGATTCTGATTCTAGTCGGAATCAGGAATAGTCAAATTGGCTAAAAGAGTAAAAGCCTACAACATCACAATTGAGCTAAAGGTTAACACATAATTATGCAAAGGTTAAAACATACTCCCTCCGTCCCAAAATAAATGCCCATAATGAGAATGGTACACAGTTTTAGGATGTGTAATTATTACGCTTTTTAATTAACCAAAGGATAATTTTACCCTTAAATTATGGAAAGAGAAAATTTCCTGCATCTCTTAATTAACGGTAGAATGAAAATGCAGACATTTACTTTTGAAATTGGACACTTATTTTGAGACAAACTAAAATAGTAATGTAGACACTTACTTTGGGACAGAGAGAGTTTATCGTTTTTGGGGCCTATTCCATATCTCATATTACTACACTCTCAGGCACGACTAAGGTATATTATGTTATAGTTTTGAAAGAAAAAAAATTGTGCTCCAGGGGTGTCTTCTGAATTGCATAATACATCAGAACATCCCAACTGTATGCAGTGATAACAAAAAAATTGATGATGTACCAGACTCTTAAAATGCGCATATTAGAAACCAAACTAAATGGGTCCATTATATGGCACACAGAGTATGGGGTAATATGTAGGCAAATCTTGCCTCGATCCTAAGGGGGTAGAGAGGCTATCATATAAAAAGACACTCTTCCCAAAAGGGTACGATTAATAATAATCTATCTATATGATTTACTTTCTGTAACTATGGGGGACCTTAATAAGGTTGTGTTTGTTGGAAGAAGATATTTTACACATTAATTGATTGGTATTATGTTATCATCTTTCTTACCCCAATTGCTTAGTGGTATGTATGGAAATTAAGTACCATTCAGACCTCTTATCATTGAGGTTTAAAGCAAATATAATCCAACTTTCTATATCAGAACACGTCCTCCTTTTTTTGGTTTTTGATATTCTCCTTAACTATGTATATCTTGTTAATTTGGAAATTCCCCTTTTTGGTTTCATGCTACATACTAGTCTTCCCAAAACGCAATCCCTAGCAGTGAACAGAGGAAGACAACCTACTTATCTGTTAGTTAAGGAAGCCACCACTTTGGCACCACACAATTTGTCACAAAGAATACATAATGTGAGATTTGTTCCATATGACATAAGAGACCATATGCATATTGGTTTATAAGTAATAAAACGCAAAGATAATGAAAAAAGTACCCGGAAACCATGCATTAGGTTTAGGATCACTATGGTTGCCACATTACACAGATTATAAACTGTTCATGATAAATATCCACTTCCAAATGCACTCGGTACACAATGGGTGCGTTGTATAATGATTTCAATACTTAGTCTGACTTGAGCAGTTTTTCTAGCAGAAAATGTATGATAATGCTTGAAAGTAAGAATATTTCATGTCGAGCTAGATACAAGGACATATAGCCTGCCAATAGCCCAATACACTGGTCTGCAGCTTGAAACAAAAAAAAGGAAACAGATGTGCATCGTTTCCAAATTAACAACATATACGTAGCTGACGAAAATATCAATAACCAAAATAAGAATGTAAACAAGGATATGCTCGAATACAAAAAGCTGGATTACATTTACTTTAAACCGTAATGTCAAAAGATTTGAAAGACACATAATTCATGAACAAACCACTATAATTGGAGTTACGATTAGGACTAAATGTGCACAATTTCAAAATCCAATAAACACAACAATATAAGATTCTATACTCAATCTCTTTTGGTCTAGTTACAGAAACTAAATCATATAAACAGATCATTAATGTTGCCCTATTATACGATCCCAATTCAGAGAGAAGTTATTCAAATAAACAAGATCTTCGATAAGGAACTGTCACCTAGCGATCGTAACATCCTTTCCATATCCTAATCAATAAACAGAAACGAGCATTTCTACGAAATTAAGAAAATCGCTGAAGAAATCGGCATAGACTCTAAATTTGACGCCAAACAATATTTACAGGAGTTGTTATGCATTAATATACCAAAATTTTAACGAAATCCGTTTGGAAGAAAAAAAATGAGCTACAATAAGATCTATAATCAACACACATTAATCTACAGGATTGGATCTATTTCAAAAACACAAACGATCTAATAAATGCAATTTTGGATGAGAAAAGGTACAGATGGAGTACGAAGAACAGACACTGTACCGATGATGACAGTGACGGAGAAAAACCGCCGGTGGATAAACAACTGGAATCCTTTTTCACTGCTTTCTCGCCGGAAAAAGGTGACAGTGGTGAACACGAAAATCTTCGAAGACGTATGAAATGGTTATGGAAGGAAAAAGACCTCCTGAATCAAATGTTCCACGTTTGAATGTATACTTATTTTTCAATTAAACAAAAGCAACCAACAACTATATTAACCTTATTAATTAAATCGGTACCAATTTAATTGATATCAATTATACCTAGGGGCTGTTTATTAAACACTTACTTGATAATTGTTTAACGCATAAATTTCTTTATCGGATGAACATGAGAAGGGTCAAGAATCATACCAGGTAAGAGCAATGAGAATGATGAAGAGTCTTACACGGTAAGTGAGGATGACGACTCTTACCGAGGTAAACGTTTACCTAGTAAATTATTGCATTTGATATGCTTTGATGTACTAAAATCTTACGCATCCAAATAAATTATAGTGTTGACTCTTATTGGTAAGCACTTACCGAGTAAGCATTGGGTAAACGGCCTCTTGGTTGATAGTATTGTATCAAGTAAGTAAACTTGGTTAGTATACAATATTAAACGTCAYGAGCATGGTATGAATTTATTTATTATTTTTTGTATTTTTTTATGTATTAAATATTAAACATTATAATTTTAACTATTTTATTTGAACATTTGAATTTATTCCTTGAAATAAAATAACTTAAACATCATATATATTTTTTGAAAACTCAAAATATCACTCGAAATTTAAACCATATGACAATTTTTCATATATATACTTTGAAATCGGTACTAATTAAATTGGTATCAAATATCTTGTTTGGTGCATAGTATAAAATTTTATATACTAATTATAATTGGTTAGTACACGATATTGAAGCAAAAATTCGTACCATACCAAGACCAGCCTTATTTTTAATAATTAGTAAAAAAAATTGACCAAAACAACTAATTTTTGCAACAAAATTCATTTTTTTAACCATTTTTATCAATTAAAATTCTCATTTTAACCAGATCCGTGTAAAATCAATTTTCAGATTAATTTTTTTATGTAATTGTGTAAATTATTTTGCGTAATTATTATAATATATATAAAAAAAACAAATGTTTTTACAAGTTTATGCTTTATTAGATTGTCCAAAACCTTTATCTAACATGTAGAAAGTAGGAGAGAAATAGTGTGGAATATTCCAAATTTAGGGGTTGTTTACGAAAAACTTACCCGACAAATGCTTGTCGGTAAAATACAACACTATTGCTTACTTACTGAGTAAGATTTGAGTCCATCAAAATAACATCATATGCAATAATTTACCTGATAAGCTCTTACCGTGGTAAGAGTCGTCGCTTTCACTTACCGGGTGAGACTCTTGTTCTTTATCTCGCTCTTACCAGGTAAGATTTTTTGTCCTTGTCATATTTATCCGATAAAGTAATATGACTTGGTAAACGCTTACCCGGGTAAACGTTTGGTAAACAATCCCTTAGAAAACTTTGAAATTAAAATGTATGAGAGAAATAATATTTTATTAAATATATAATAAATAATCATAATTATAATCTTCAAAATAAAAAAATACCAGAGTTTAATGTAATTTCTTTTCATAAAAATTTTGAATTTTAATCTTATATTTAAAAGAAATTTTAAAAAATCTTTTAAAGATGTTATTAGATCAAAGATTCCAATCCAGATAAAAATGGGGTTATATATGCACCATCTTTACTTTAAAATCATGCATTAAAATAAATAAATATATATATATATATGTATATATATAAGGTTTGATGATGCTAAATATGAGAAAAAATTAGTAAAGTAAAGTGTTTTTAATAGGTACAAAATATTACATTTATAAAAAACTAGTGTTTGGCATCGTATGTTACACGGTGATCATAACACATGTCAAATAATATACAAAAAATTGTGAACCACATCAATATCTCTATACTTCAAAATTGAAAATACTAAATTTTCATAGTGCATTTGTAACTCTTCCAATATTTCAAGACATCCCTTTTCGTTTCATGTACTTAATTGTTTTTCAATAATTTATTTTCTGATTAATATAAACTAAGATTTAAGTCAAATTCAACCACAATTCATGATGTGGAAATATTAAATTCTAATTTGTCACATTAATATCTTATAACATTATATATTAATTATTTAACTTTTAACATTATGGATCCAAAATAACCATTTTAATCCATTTCTCCACATTTATCATACCCAGAGGCGGCACTGGTTTTTTTTTTTTCTCCAAATGGTGTCACTATTTGACTATAATAAATGATGATATGAATATTTTTCAAAAAACCATTATTAGTATGTTAGTTAGTTCCTTGCTTTTCTTATGCAATGTTCTGTGTTTGAGCTTTTTATTGTAAATTTATTCAGAAACATAACAAATTTGAAATTAAAAGCTAAAACCAAAGAGAAACTTGTGCCATTATTGTAATTTCAAAAAATATATATGGTTGTACGCAAGAAAATGATACGATGACATCTTTCGCAGATATAATTTTTACACTCCAACGAAGAAACGAAATGATAAAAATTTAGAGCTATGTCCTGCGATTTTGCTAGGACTCCGATTTGTTCGACCTAGGAAAGGGGACAAAGACGATGTTTAACCTTTTCCGTGGTGTGAACCTTGCGGTTTGGAACCCTGTACAAGGGACTGCTTGCTGCTCATCCCTATATCTAAAGAGGCGCACACTCGTTACCATTAAACGACGAAGCCGGACATTTCGAGACTGGGGAAGTAATTCCCCGAAAATTGTTATGGATTAAATTGTAAGAAATTTTTTAAATAAAAAATGGACATTTTTTTACTATGATCATCCCCTAGTAGTAAGAAGATGTTGGGATGCTTGTACCTAGGGGTGCTTATGGGTTGTGTTGATCGGGTTGAAGACATTTGAACAACCCAACCCAATGTTTGCGGTTTGAAAAATCTTAACTCAACCCAACTGTACGGGTTGGTCGGGTTAGTCAGATTGACACTTTGATACATTAAAATATTGTTTTAATCTTGAATATGTTATTTATCTAGTCATAATTTCTTTTTCATTATCAACCATTTGATACAACTTATTTATATTTTTTATGTATATCACATTCAGTTAATTTTTTCAATTTACATATATATGTTTACAGTTACTGAACATATATATGAATTAGTTATATAAATATGTGAATAGATTGAAAATATGTGTATGTGAAAGAGCGTATGTGAGTCTTTGGCCTCTAAGAGGTCAAGAGTTCAAACCTCACCAAAGGTGAGAAGGGTATACGAGTTTTTTTGTTCAATTTGTCGTATATAAATACCATATACTTAAAAAAAAAAACGTAGGTGATAGTGTAATTGTCTAATGTATATATTAATAGAAATTCAACAATTATATTAAATCCAAAAAATAAAAGGATATCGGGTTTATCGAATTGGGTTGAGTTCAAATAGTAGTAATTCAATATCAACCTAATACATATGGTTTTAAATTTTTACAACTCAATTAGAGATCGGATTGCTTCAGGTTGAATTATTTTGCATTAGGTTGAGTTGAGTTGTATTTATAATACGAGTTTATAAAAATATTTTAATAATATAATTAATATTAATATTCTTAAAATAAAGTGTTGGATTTGCGAGAAAGGAGAGTCCACCGACACCAACTGGCTTCCAATTCCATGATAAACCATCCACTGTATCTATTCATGCTTAGCCCACAAATTCAATCAACAAATTTTAGATGTGAAGTAACCTAAAAGAAACCCATTTTTTTTGCTTGGCTTCACAAATGAATAAAGTCGTACACATTTATCATAATCATATGTAATTATACACACCACTAAATATTTGTTGTCACATCGCCATACAAGAGGTAAGAGAGAGAAAGAAAAATGGAGCTTCTGTACGACTGGTAGTCCTTCACATCTCTCCCTATCTAATTTCTATCATGTAGAAGATTCTTGAAATTGTGGGTGTGGACGCCATGGATGATGCATCAAGAACCTCCTCTGTAAGTCCTGTCATCCATCTTGCACTCCAAGTGTTTGATAAAATGCCTCCTTGGATTTTCTGTTCTACAATCTCGATTCAATTATAAGGGTTTCTGTTAAATAGTTTCCATTATTGTTTTTTTGAAGCTAAATCTGTATTCAGACCTAGTTATATACCATAAAGTTTGGATTTTGTTTGTGGGTTTGTTAGGTTTAAGGGTTACAGAAGGTGGATTTAAAATCTTTTCCAGGAGCTAACCTAATAACATGAAAAGGGTTTGTTAGTCAGATCTCAATGGTTTAGATGTTTAGGTTTCCACTTAGCTAGAAAGAGAATTGGCCATGGAGAAATAGAGGGGGATTGGGGTGTTGGGGGTGGAAGATGCAATTTTCTAGGTTTGCAGCTACAAATGAATCTTTTTTAGTGTTGATATCTAACTGATTTTTGCTATGATTCTAATACCAAATAGACCTGGTAAATCTCACTGCGATAGTAGGGTCTGTTGACAGATAGATCTGACGTCTATCAGAATAAGGTAGATTATGATCTTCTTGAATGGGGTGTAATTCTTCAGGATATAAATAGCATATATGCAAGAGGTTTGTCCATACCCACCATCATTTGTTTTCTCTTGTTGTTTCTAACTAAAAAGATTAGGACTTAAAATGATGTTGGTCGTCATAAAGCTCGTGTTTTTGGTGTTGTTATATGTACGAGACTATGTGTTGTTGGTATCATCCCGGGTTGAAGGAGTCTCATTTAAAATAATTTGAGGATATAGAAAGTCAATTAAGTGTCTGATTGTTAGCAACTTAATGAGCTTGATGGGATTTACAGCTTATGCAGTTAGCTATATGTGACTGTTTTGGTAGTGGCTTAATGATATAGAAAGTGACTTGTTCAACATAGTTTTTAAAGCTTTATGCAGAAAGTCAATTTTTTTTTTCCAAACATGCCCCTCCCAATTAAAGAACACGCTTTTATGAAGAAAAAAAATTCCCAAATAAAAACCTTCCAATCTATACAAGACAAATTAATCCACATATCATGACTTAATGGAAGACCAATCAAACAGCCCCTAAGACTAGTTTAGTTTATTGCCTTTTTTGTTTGTTTTGGTATCATTAGTTTAATTTAGTTCTTTTAACCTGTTTGACTTTGTTTACCATTCTTTCTGTCCTTACCGAGTCAGCTGATCTCGGTTAGCATCATTTGTCTGTCAAAGTGTATGGTAAGCAACCTCACCTCTTACTGGTAAGAGGGTAAGAGACGATGAACAATTAGTAAACAGTCCCTAAGGCTATGTCCATTATGGCAAATCAGTTTCTAATGGTACATCAGAAAAATGTGATTCACCTAATGAAATCCCTCTAGGATTTTGATTCATAAATATTAATCTCAATCGCTCTACTCTTTGGAGGTAGAGTTTAGGTCTGCCTACATTCCAACCTGTAACATCCTGTCCCTGGCTAATTGTACCAGATATTAATATTGTCCGCTTTGTCCACACTTGGACTCACATGTTTTAAAACGCGTTTGATTGAGGAGGTATCCAGTCCCTTACAAGGCAACCTTAGTTCATCTCCTCAACCGATATGGGATCTTACACTCCACCCCCTTGGAGCCCGGTGTACTCGTTGGCACACTAGTCCGGTTCCCCGCTTTGATACCATATATAACATCACATATCCCCGGGCTTACCGTACCAGACACTTTGTCCACACCTGGACTCACGGTTTCAAAACACATCTGGTAGAGGAGGTATCCAGTCCCTTATAAGGCAACCTTAGTTCCCCTCCCAATCGATATGGGTTCTTGCACACTCCAACCCTACTTTCGATTGGGATACAAAGGATCGGTTTGGTTTCATTTGGTTTTAGTTGGGATTCAAGGCATCTGAATGGTTTCTTATGTAAACGTTTGAAGCTTAGAACTTGGCTTATTTTTTTTCGAGCATCATCTCCAACAGAGATAAAAATCTCCAAATTTGGAGAACTCTCTGAAATTAAATGTCGGAAGATAGAAAAATCACTTCTTTATTGTTTGTATTATCATTTTCATATAAATTCTATTTGAAAATTTGTTGGGATATTATATATATATATATAGATATGTAATACAATTAGTCTTGAATTACTAAAATTGAGAAACTGTTGGAGCTAAATGTACATTTTTTTGAACTTTTGCTTCTCGGTTTTGGAGAAATTATAGAGAATTGTGATCATGTGTTCCTTTTTCCATATAGATTTGCTTTAGCATGGAATCCATGGGGATTAAAAACGACATCCCAGGCTCGAAAACATACCGTAAACTTGGACTCAAAGAAACTTTCAAGCAAAGTCCCGGAAACCCGAAGGTTCTATCGCTTCTTTCTTCAGTTCTTGAGAGGTGTGTCAAAAAGAACGAAACSATACTCGAGAATACGCAATCTAAAGATGTTGTTACGGCTTTTCATGGTCTAAGAGCTCCTACACTTACCATCAAAGAGTACATTGATCGTATCTTCAAATACTCGCGTTGCAGCCCATCTTGCTTTGTTGTTGCACAAATATACATGGATCGGTTTATTGATGGCGGAAATGTCAATTTGACTTCGCTTAGTGTTCATCGCCTTCTCATCACCAGTATAATGCTCGCTGCAAAGTTTATTGATGACGCGTAAGTGCTGTTCCTAACTCCCTCTTTTCAATATTTTCTTCTACTAGAGAGGCACAAAAAAGCCCAAGCCTAGTGAAACTGAAGCCCAGTCCGGGCCAGGCCTCAAGCCCGATAAGGCTGAAACTATGGGGGCAGGCCTGACCTGAAAAATCCTGGAAAAGCCCAAATAAACCCGGCCTGCTAAATGCCCGATCGGGCCCATTTTCAACCTCAAAAAGCCCGGCAGCCCGGACCCTTTTTTTTGCTCACTGAAAACAGGCTTGAAAGGCCCAGATCAAAAAATCCCGGGCCTTGTGCATCTCTACTGGATATCCAACCCGCTATGCGAGCCAACTAATCCCAGGGCGACCATCTGCTTTGCAGATAGCCCGGAGTCACCGCATTTGAACCTCTGTGACCACAAGGGGATTTTTATTCCTCCTTGGATTTGAACCTAGGACCTCCTGCTACTTTTGACCTTTGCAGCCAAGCTCAAACCAATCAGACACCACCCTTGTGGTTTAAACCAGGCTGCCTTTATTGTCTGGTTTGTGGTTTTGAAGGTCAAAACGCACAGAACAAGCCTTGAACAACCCTAGTTTTAAAACCACAAGGGGTGTGGCGTAGTGGTTGAGGTTCTGGGGGATGTGGTGGAATATCCCATCTGCCCGATGTTCGATTCCAAGTGTACACAAAAATTGTTTTCATTGAGATTATCAGGGCTGATTTCTTACGGTCACAATTTGCCAGGATTGGTCTAGGCATACCCCGGGAAACCCTTCCAAAAAACAACCCTAGTTTTAACCTATTTTCTTCATATTTGTCCATGTTGCATTTTTTTTGTAATGCACATCTTACCCCTGGCAAATCCTACATTGTGTGAGATTTACTGGGTTTGTTTGATTTAATTGAAAATCAAGAAAACACACACACACACATCTAAACAATACCATTTACGAGTTAGGTCAAAAACCACCGGTTAACCACTTGGGTTGTGGCGCATGGTTAAGGCTCGGGGGATGTAATGGAAATCTTATCTTCCCTGGGTTTGAATTGACTTCATCTGCAATGACTTCAAACAATTTGTAGTCGCCCGGGGGATTAGTCGGTGCGCGTAAGTGGACCTGGATACCCACAGTTATTTCACTCTTGTATTTAAGAAACCAATCTTGTTTGGTTTTTATTTGCAGATTCTATAATAACGCATATTACGCTAAAGTGGGAGGAGTAACGACCACGGAATTGAACAGATTGGAAATAAAATTCCTATTTGGTCTCGACTTCCAACTCCACGTAAGCCTTCGTACGTTTGGGATGTACTGTTCCGAATTGGAAAAAGAAATTTCGTACGAGCTTCAGATGGAAAGGCTACCGCCTATGATCCATGCCGCTTGTGGACTCAAAGAGAACTGGTCGAGCAACGATGACTCGAGTTCCTACACGACAACCGAGATACAAATCATATAGGTAGACTCTAGAAACGGGTCTTTAGGCTGTGCACTTTACACTTACTGGGTAGCTAAACACTTATTTTCTCTTACCAGATAAGAGACGTTTACCTAAGATGATGGTCTTTTACCAACAATTTTACCGTGCCATTTTTGGTAACCGAGAATCTTACCCAGTAAATGAGGGTGATGAATCTTAGCATATTAGTATTTAGTGGGTAAGAGACGCGTATACTATGTTATTTTGATGATCAAGAATCTTACCCGGTAAGATAAGTAATGGTGGTGGCTCTTATCTGGTTAACGCTTACCTAGTTTGTGTTGGTAAACGGCCTACAAATGCATACCGGTAAAAGTTACCATCCTCACTTAGCTGGGTATATTTTCAACCATCAACATGGATTGTTTGTAAGGGGCTGTTTGGTTGGGTTTCATTAAGTCTTATATGGATAAAGTTGTTTGTGTTGATTAATTTGTTTGTATAGATTGAAAAGTTTTTGTTTGGGAGAGTTTTTACATAGATGGAGGTAGCGTGTTTTTTAGTTGAGGGGAATGTTTGGAAAAAAGAAACTTGACTTTCTGCATAAAACTCTTTTGTAGAATCTTACTGAATAAACCACTTTTTATATCGTTAAGTTACCACCAAATAACCATGTATAGTTGACCGAATAAGTTGCAAGTCATATTAAACTATTAATGAACAAGCGTCTAAGTGTGTCTTACTTGGTAAGGTGTTAACCGGGTAAGATTCTCCTCTTTCACTTTCTGGGTAAGAACCTTGATGATTGTTTTGTCTTTTACTAGCTAAGATTATTGGTCCTTGTGCACTCGTTTGACAACCGTTTATCTGATAAGCATTTTATAAAAAGTGTTCATTGTATCATGGTGGGTGATGTTTTTGTGAGTGCTGAAACCYGAAAAGTTTGTTTGTATTGTTGTTACTCTGAATGGAATAGTAACAAAATTGGAACCAAAAGATGACTTTTGGAAGATATCATGAATTTTATGAATTTGAAACATATTGTTTTATTTATATTTATAATAATAAAGTCTTATTTAATTATAGTACATAACACTTTATATCATTCATGTTTGCAATTTTTATAGTTAAATTATTATATTTATATATAATAAATAAAAAGTTAGAAATGTCTTTAGAGGAAAAGCATTCGGCCTACGTAACCGGTTAGCTTAACTAGTTATAGTGAGGACCAAAACCGGCTTCCCCAATTACATTTTCGGATCATCATAACTGAATCGGTTATAGACCCCAGTAGTTACCTAGTTTCCGATCTCTAATTCAAAGGACCGTACCAATGAGTCAAATTTGTCTGCTCTCGAACTTGACAAGTCTTTTCTAATTTATTTTCAAAATAGAGAATCAAAATTTTGAATTTTAAAGAAATTGCATTCATAGCTTACAACTTTTATTATAGTGTGCTCTCCAAAGAACAACTCTTTTCAAAATCATTTAGAAGGTGTCGAGTTAAAATCCCTTCAAATTATAACTAAAGATTCTTGTGGTTTCAGAAGATGCAGGTGTAAGAGAACCTAGAACAGAAAGTTTTCCCTCACATTTTTGCCAACTCTTTGGCCTTAAAAATGTTAACTTTAAGAATGAGTGATTGCCCTTAGACTCTTACATCTGACAGCGGACAACTAATGCATTCAACTTATTAAACAGGGTTTTATGATGGATCCATGACCCCTAACTCCAACAGTTTCTTTATTTTGAAGATTACACTAATAATCACCCAAATCCTTATTTTTTTCTTGTACATAATCTGTTGGAGAATGCTTTCAACAACATTTATCAAGTTCTCCATTCTAAAACGTATAATCATTGGATAAATACTTTTTATCCAATTTTAATTTCATGCTCAATACACCAAACCAACTCAATAATTGGAATAAATGACATAAGTGATTGAAATAATTTTGGGAAATTGATCAAAATAGTAATATTCACAATCAAATTCATTTTTTAACCATTTTTTAATTAAAATTTTATTTTAATTAGAGCTTATATAAATGTCTTAAAAAATATATATATAATCTTTACAGGAATTGTGTGAATATTTTTTTTTCTTGTTTCTTAAATATGAAAATAGGCTTTATGCATAGGATAGCAAAGAGCCCCATACCTGATAACCCAAACCCGGTTTGACCAAGGAATTCTCTAGTTGACTACCTCTCGACGCGACCCCGAGTATTTATTAATAAGTTTTTATATATACCTTCAAACTCACCCAAAAAATATGTTTTAGAAGAGAATTGATCCAATACATTTTATTAATGTTTGACATTCAATTAAAATTAATTTAAAAGTGAAGATATTTCTTACATTTTTTACCATAACTTCCTTAGAAACCTAACCATATATATAAATACGACACATGAATATAATTAATATAATATATGATCGAGAAAATTTTCAAAGAAYATTATAATATTGGTTTGATTATTCGGAGAAAATTTTGGTGTTATAACGTGGACGCATAAAATTTGAATTATTAAATATTGTATATTAATATATTTATTTTTGAACTAGTCAAATGCAACCTGACATTTGGTTAACTGAAGTTTTAAATGATACATCACTTAAACAAGTAGTCAACATTTATAAAGATATATAGAGAAGATTAAATTTTGTAGATGCCCGACGGGGATGGGGATGGAGATTGCGATCCCCGATATCCCCGGCCCCATTGCCATCGCAAATAACTCCGGCTAAAATAGGAATATAATGCTAAAAAGTGAATTTGGTTGAAAAAGGTAGACTATTTTGGTCAATTTCACAACTACTGCACCTAAAAACTGGGGAAACAAGGAATGATACAGAAGAGAGTATAGGATAACCTGAGAGTTTAGTAGAGTTCATGCATGTTAACATTTGGCACAAGCATGGTTACTTTTCTGATTTACAACTGCTGCCAAAATGTCGATCAAAGGAGGAGAAGGCCATTGCATCATCAGGGAATATCCTACCATATATATATTTTTTGTTTTTTTTTTTTCTTGGTTAAATCAATTGATCAAAAAAATGAACCCCGGATCATTCCTATTGCCGCATGTCAGCTTCCACAGGCCTTGCAAGTGTCCTCACAAAGTAATTACGCATCTCCGGTAAAACACGTTGGATCAAACTCCCGTACCTGTATTTCATAATTAGTGAAATCTACTTTGAACCACATGGACGCCATTTTTCTCATTAACTCTACAGTACGAAACCGAATGAACCTACTATATCAAAACATCTCCAACAGATTCTTCAAAATAGAGAAAGTAAGACTTTTCTTCTCTATTTTGCTCCAACAGATTCTCTATATTGTTCTTTAAACTAGAGAAAGCTCCAAGTTTAAAGAATTATCTAAAACTTGATGTGTGAAGAGAGAAATCAATTTTTATTCATTCCCACCAATGAAATCGAATTATTATTATTTTGTATAAATTCTTTTAAAAAGTTTATTGGGATGATAAATTTATAGAATATTTTAGTAATATGATGAATGTTGAGATGCTCTACACCCGTAGGTGGGGTACAGGAGGGGTAAAATGTACGCAAATCTGACTTCTACCCTTAAGAGTAGAACTGTTGTTTCCATAAAGGACTTGGCTTATGAAACTTGTAACTAATTGATCACGAGTCTATTTGAACCCACATTGAAGGTATTCTCAACTTGCAGTACAAAAACCAAATAAACACAACATATCACACCCGAAAGGGGGGGTACAGGAGGGGTAAAATGTATGCAGTTGTTTTCATAAGACCTTGGCTTATAAAATTTGTAATAAATCAATCATGACTATGCTTTGAACCACATTGAAGCCATTTTCAGCTTGCATTACAAAACCAAACGATCCCAGTATATCACACCTGAAGGTGTGGTTGGGAGGGGTAAGTTGTACACAAATCCGACCTCTACCTCAAGAGTAGAACGGTTGTTTCCATAACAAACGTGGTTTATGAAATTTGTAACTAATTGATCACGAGTCTGATTTTCAACCAAACGATCCCAGTACATCACACCTAAAGGTGTGGGAGGGGTAAAATATATGCAGACTTGACCTCTACCACAAAAGTAGAGCAGTTGATTCCATGAAGACACCAACTTGCGAAATGTGTACGGAAGAGATGAATGCAAAGATGGATTTTGAAAAGGGGCAAAAATTCAACAAAATGTGTCTTAATTCCTATTTAGGGTAACAAATTATTTTTTTCTCAATCGATGTAACAAAGTTTTAAATAAGTTCCTATTTAACGTAACATTTGATGGCGTGAACGTCAAGTATTTCGCGCACTTACAGTAACTTTTTCGTAAACGGGTATTCACGTCATCGAATGTTACAATCAACAAGTAACAAAGGTCAAAATGGGTACAAAATAGAAAATTTTGAAACTTCGTAACATCGATTGAGAAAAATAAAGCTTCGCTACATTAACTAGGAACTAAACCAAACTTTGTTGCAACTTGCGCTTCGAAGAGCTAGTTACGAGTGTAATACATACCATGCTTCTGTGTTTAATTTGTCGAAGTTCTCCAGCACAAATAAGATGCACGCATTCCTTAGTGAGACCGCATTGAATGCCTCGGATAAGTCATACATAAGTGATACATTGTCGACAAGTATATCCTAATAAATAACGGTAAACATGTTTCATCACAGGCTAACCCACAAACCGATCTTCGATTCAAAGCAGGAAAAAAAAAATTCAACTCACCTGTGCGATGGTGTACTCACAAAGACGTTTCAGCCCCTCGAGGAGATATTGATCAGCAGCTCTAAGAAGATCCTGGGCTATTTCCAGATTGACATCTACTGACCCAGTATATATGTATCTGTATAAGAAGATATTATATCAAGATGAAGGATCGTGTGAGAATAGGAATTGAGGTGAGATGCGTAAGAAGAGATCTGCACCGTTGATCACTTTTAATCTCACCCCACCCCATGAATTGCGCTTATCATAGGAAATGATCCGGTGCATCGCGGTCCACCGCATTAGTGTTGATCTTCAATTAGGATTGATCCAAGGGTGGAGTCCATTCTTACCCTTTCCACCATAACTTTCATTCTCACCGGAATCAACCCATTATACAAGAGGAAGGATTGTGTGAGAATGGAAGTTATGACGTGAGCAGCGTAAGAAGGAATCTGGACCATTGATCACTTTTAATCTGACCCCCACCCATGAATCATGCTTATCATAAGAATTGATTCAGTGCATCTTGGTGCACTGCATTAGTGTATTTCTTCAATTAGGATTGATCCAGGGGTGAAGATCCCTTTCTTACCCTTCTCACTATAACTTCCATTCTCACCGATTTTCCTACCCATTATATCAATTGCACACATATTTTCCTTCAGATACCAATAGGAAAAGTGTAGACTACCGTACCTCATCATC